CTCGAGCTCGGGCTCGTCTTTTGACGAGCCCGAGCGGCTCGTGGATCGCTACAGTACGAGCCGAGCAGTCGAACCGACGAGCCGCTCGGCTCGATTGCCATCACTGCCTGCAACATAGTCCAAAGAGTTACTGAGTTTCAATTAAATTAGTCAAAACTTTTTAGGTTCCCAACAAAATTGTTTGAAGACTGTGCTTCAAGTGTTTATAAAAAATCTAATCTCGAGATAATGACACGGGAATTCTTGCCCGTTAGTAGTGTGCAAAATTTTTTAACACACTGCCTCTCGCAAATTCATGGCAATACCCAACTCACAGTATGCTTTATGCACCAATAATACACACTTCCCATCAGTGTAGAGTTTGAGAGGACTACATTTCAGAAGCAAGTTTCAATATCCCAAAGAGAGAAAATTGGGTGAAGTTACGCCTGCTCTTTTTTCAGGAATATATTTTGTAAAAAATGAATATATATATATATTTTTTTTTTTAAGAATGTTGGTTAAAAATCAGAAAATATTGACAATTTATATAAAATTATTTTATTAGAAGTGTGTTTGAATGAAAAAATTATTTAAAGAATGGATCTCAAATTATTCATTTCATCAAATTGAAAATCTCACGAGGACATAATCGTCCTTGAATAGAACGAACCTATAGATATAAAGGAATGGATTGTTATTGACAATCTATTATTGGCAAATTTCAATACCCTCAAGAGAAGAAATTGAGGAGGAGAAAAAAATTGAATCATGCTATGTGTACAATACTGATTGATAATTGACAACATTTTATTCGACATCATCATATTCATCAATTTTAAAACATTATTTTCTACATCATTAGGAGTTTGACAACCATCTTGTCAAAAAATATTGTAAACTTAGATTAATTTAAAAGAATTCGATAAAGAGGAGGAGCAGTGTATGTAGAGAATTTCCATTTGTACAGAATACCACCCACCTTATTGTCTCTTTTCTGGCAGCATTCTAAATCTTTAATTCAGTTGCTTTTAGTGGGTTTCAGTTTTGTCTTTGATTGAAAAGATTAGAGATGGCTTTTGCTGCTCTTGTTTCTCTTAATCAGATTCTAGAGCAAATCCTACATCCTGATCGATTCTTGATTCTTCATCACAAGCAACAAATTGAGTCTCTTCATGAAAATATCAGCTTCTTGCTAACTTTTCTCCAAGATTCTTCGCCAAAAAGCAGCGAATCTGTGGAAGGTTTGGAGAGAAAAATTAGAGATGCAGCATATCAAGCTGAAGACATAATCGAAACCCACGTTTTAGATCAATTTCGTCTGGGAAAATCTTCTTTTTCCTCACGTGGGGCTGTCGATTTACTTCAAAAATCATTTGCTGCATTCCAGATTTTGATGCCCTCGCTTAATGTCTTTGACAGGGGCTTGGAGCTCTGTCATGATATTTCATGGTGGAACTATCGAGACTTGGAGAAAGTAGTAGAAGAAATTGATTCCATTGTGAAAGAGGCGATGAAGATTAAGGAAGGATATGGCAGGGAAGATTTACATTCGAGGAATTCTTTGCTTGCTGGTCCGTCAAAACATGCTTCCTTTCGGCAGAAGTCTAGTATGGTGGGGTTTGGCGTTGATTTGATAAAAATAAAGGATCGACTCACTGGACAGCCTTCAAAACTCGAAGTTATCTCGATTGTAGGCATGGGAGGCACAGGGAAGACAACTCTAGCTAGAAACGTCTATAATGATCCGCTTATGGTATATCATTTCCATATTCGTGCTTGGGTAACGATATCTCAAGAATATAATGTGCGAGACATTCTGCTAGGCCTTTTAGATTCCCTAAGAAATCTTACAGATAAAATGCATCATCAGAGTGATGTCGAATTGGCAGAGCATATCTACAAAATTTTACTGCCTAGAAAGTATTTAATTGTAATGGATGATGTGTGGAACACTGGATCCTGGGATGATTTTAGAAGGTTGTTTCCGGACAGCAAAAATGGAAGTCGAGTTGTGTTGACTACTCGGCTAAAGAATGTCGCATTATATGCTGGTTCCATTAGCTGTCTCCATCAAATGCGTTTTCTAGATGATGATGAAGGTTGGGAGCTACTTTCTGCAGAGGTGTTTGGAAAGGAATATCGTTGCCCTCTCGAATTAAAAGAAATTGGACAGGAAATTGCTGCGAAATGCAGGGGACTTCCACTGGCAATTGTCGTGATTGGCGGGCTCCTCTCCAAGCTCGACTGGACATATGATGTATGGGAGAATGTTGCAGAGAATATACATTCGATTACAGCTACTGCTGCTAATCGGTGTTCGGAGATACTTTGCTTAAGTTATAATCACTTGCCAAAACATTTGAAAGCTTGCTTTCTCTACATGGGAATTTTTCCAGAAGATTACGAGATCCATGTCTCTAAGCTCATCAAGCTATGGGTAGCCGAGGGATTTCTAAAACAAATCAGACCTAAAAGCATGGAAGAGGTGGGAAAGGAGTACCTAGAGGATCTTGTTAGCAGAAATCTTGTTCAGGTTCTTCGGAGGCGGGTAGATGGCAAAATCAAAATAATTAGCATCCATGATCTCTTGCGAGACTTGTGTGTGAGAGAATCTGAAAAGGAGAAGTTTCTGCATATCCTTCATAACACGGACGAGGACGATAACAGTACCTTCATGCAACGCCGACTAAGTCTCTGTTTAAAAATGCCACGTTTTGATCCCTTCTTCCATAGCCTTCCAAATTCTTATCAGTCAACAAGATCAGTATCACTTGCTCGGACACTCCTATACACTGGTAGGCAATTTATCCCATCACGTGCCTTCTTAGGATTGAGACTGCTCAGAGTCTTGCATATGATTGAAGTTTTACTTTTTACGTTTCCAATTGAAATAGTAAAACTAGTTAATTTGAGGTACCTTGCTTTTTCCTATCATGGGGAGATTCCTTCATCAATATCTGAGCTTTGGAATCTTCAGACCTTGATACTTCGTCCCTTGGTTAAAAGCTTTGCCCTGTTTCCAAGACCTCTACCACCCGAAATCTGGATGTTGCCAAGGTTAAGGCATCTCAGGTTCAATGTATGGTACTTGTCAGAACCTCCTTGTGAGTTAATTGGTTGGGTAAATTCTGCTCTTTTAGCAAATCTACAAACACTTTCGGAGGTGAGTGCTTCTTTTTGTACGAAGGAAGTCCTTCAACAAGTTCCTAATTTAAAGAAATTAGGAATTTGGATGG